AATTCTAGGGAGAGAAATAAAATAAAATATCGAGCAATGTTTAACTCTAATTTCTTAATTATTATTTTTTCAATATGAAATTATAAAATGACCCACAGTATTATAAAATTGTCTACTGACTTGCAATATTTAAAATCTGAAATGTAATATATTCTGTGTTATTAAGAATTAAAGGTGTAACACAGTAATAATGATGATATTGTACAACGTACGATACCTCCTCGTCAGCAGACGATTTTATAAAAGTATACTGGGGATATTTCGTGAGTCATGGTATTCAAAGAACACTAAATTCAAGGGGGAATGGGGCGCATACACCAAGGTAAATGAATTACATGCACTTGCACTGTTATGTCTAGACATGTCGAGAGAGAGCCGTTACAAAGAAACAGAATGCCTCCCCGGTCCGATTTTTGTTGCCGTTACTGCAAGCACGAATCACACATACCTCGTGCTTCGCGATGTGGAAATACAACCCTGGCCTTCACACAGAAGCAAGAATTGGTGGCCAGACATAAATGCCGAGTATATTCGGAAAGAAATCACGACGCATACCGCGTTCAAAACAATGCCTTCTCTCTTTTTTTGAATTTAACCGATGAACGAACTGACAGACGATAATGTCATGCAAGTTAAGAAACATGGAAGCATTTACGTCAGCAACTGGTGGTTGATTCCTCACCTCGCGGAATGCTTAAAACCCTTAAAAATGATGCGCAAAAATAAAAAAGAAGAAATTCACATGTTCCTCTCATCATGACATAACTATATAGGACCGTTTTAAGTGGCCTTGCGTCTCCGCGTTTTCTCTTCGTGGCGTTGCAATCGTGGAGCAGCAAGATGGCCGCGCGCTGATGCCGTCGACCGTCTGCCCCCTGTGTTTGTTTATGTGCTGGTGTGTGCTGGTGGCTCGTAGGGCTTACCGTCTTTGTTTCAATTCAATCTGCCGATGCTAATAGGGAGGCGACAGCAGATGGCAGACGCACGATGAGGCTTTAGTTCGTTCCTAGACCGCTCAGACAACGGTTCGTCCGCGCTGGAGCCTTGGTTCGATCTTTGACCCCTCGTCAAAGGAGTAAAATCAGTTCTGCACAACAAACACAAAGTCAATCATCATGCATATGTCATTTTGGTTTTCTCCAGAGCTTGGAGATTTTTTGATTAAAGGGTTCGTCGTGGATACAACCAAAGGTAAGAATTATTTCACTTAATATTTTGGTGGAGGATGAAATCTGCTGTGGCAATTTATTTGTATTAAAGGAAATTGGAACGTAAAGGTAGATGACCTTTCTTTACTGAAAGAGATATCTGCCATGTATTACGTGACCAATCGAAATTATTGCTATCTTAAGCCCTGAGGCAAGGCATCTGGCTTAATCTACAGATGGTTCTGTGATTGCATTACCAGGAGCACTTGTGAAGATAGAACTGTCTTAACTGTCGGATTGTCTAATGAAACATACCATGCCATAAATTAAATGATGTTTATTTTCTGTTGCAGCTTTTGTGGCGACCTGCTTTGGATTGGGAGCTATAGCCGTCTTATTAGAAGTGCTCAAATTTTGGAGAACAAAAGTAAAACACAAGTCAGCTTTGAAGCAGTCTTTAAACGCCCAAATTGGAGGCAGCGAAACATCTGCTCTTCTTTCCGGCTCTCGTCTCAGAGGAAATTTAGAAAGGTATTAACTAATTGAAGAAGTTAAGAAAATATATTATGTATAGGGTAATTCCAGAAAGGGGTGTCTGTCAGTGACAGCAGGACGCGTCTTGTCATGTGCTTCAACATCACAAAGTACCTCTCAGTTGCTCATAAAAACCGTCACTGACAGACATTTTTTACAATATTTCTGGAATTGCCCATAATAGAAAATCATTGTTTTTAAAAACACAATTCTCTTAATTTTTGACAGAGTTTTGAATATTACTTTTGAAGTTGTTATGTACTTGACCCAAGAATCATTCAACTGGATAGTGATGCTAGCTGTCATGGGATACAATGGGTACATATTTGTGTCAGTTATAGCAGGAGCAGGGCTTGGATATGCTCTGTTTGGAGAATCTGTTGCCAATTCAAAAATTCAAAACGTCAAAATGAAAGCTGCTATGATGTCATGTGGAGATTGTCAAGGTAACTTGTGATAGTCTTCATAATTGCTTTGCTTGTGTACAGAACAATTGATTATTATTGTGTACAATAATATTGAAATCTACTTATCTGATTTAGATGATTACTGACAGTTTTCCTGAATTTTCTACCTTACAGTGAAAGAAGAAGAAGAAACAGATGAGAACGATCCTGGGCAGTCTGATCCTCCTACCGATTCTCAAGCTATTCCTTCTATTTCAGGGTCAATAAGTCGAAGTGTCATGGTTCACTGTGATCCATAAGTTTAAGATTCTCTTCAGTAAAATCATAAGATGGCATGATTAACAATATAATCTTTTGAATTGCATCTCACAAAAATGAAAGACATCTGTGAAATTTAGTGATGGGCAATTTTTTTTTCCTTTTACTTTTGTGCCACATGGATTGATGGTAAAAAAACTGTGATATTTTGCTGCTTGACAAGTAATTCAGTTTTAACTTGATTAAAATCTGCGTTGTTATGCCTTGCTAGATTTGGAACATGGAGGGAAAATGTATGCTCAGCTGCAGGACAGCAAATTGAAGTTTATATGTTTTTTTTTTTAACTTTATGATTATTATATATATATGTATTGATTATCATTTGTAATAGTTTATTGCATGCAATCCTTTAAGATGGATCCAGCTTGTGCAGACTCTTTAATAACTTTGAGAGCGTCTCATGTGTGTGGACTGACTATCTCTTTCCTAAATTTAAAATGGGATTAAATCGAATGGAGCACAAACTCATTGTGTTGACCCACTATCCCTTTTCAAAATCTTTAACTGGGATTAAATCAAATGGACCACAAACCCATTTGTTATGAATGTCAATGTGAGCAATATAGACTGCTCCCTTTCAGGAATATTTGGTTGTTTACTAGTCAATGTTGTTAGCCAAAATTTCTAATGAAAAGCATAATGTATAAGACTGATTTCTTCTTGCCTTAACATTCAGATTATCTTGTAATGTAGGTTTTCCTACTAATCACCTTTCTTGAGGATTGTTTTATACCAGAATTTTAACCTAGAATATAAGACATCTTATTTCTCTTTGCTTTGTAATTATGATGCCCTCATGTGTCACTTCCCTGTAGGCAGTCCCAAGTGAGCCAAATACAATTCTAGGGAGAGAAATAAAATAAAATATCGAGCAATGTTTAACTCTAATTTCTTAATTATTATTTTTTCAATATGAAATTATAAAATGACCCATGAAGTTTTACACTTTTACAGCCTTAACATAAGGTTCAGTCCATCATTTCAATTTTTCTATGGTCTTGAAATTCTGTGCTCTTCAGATGTGGTGATAAAGAGCCTTTGAAGAACACAACCAAGTAACAAGTAGCAATGCTTCAGAGCAGCTCAATAGAGTTAAAAATAAAGGCTTTGAAATGACAAACAATGTAACAACTTGAAGTAGACAACATTTTATAATTGCCTCATTCAGAGTCAGAAAAGTTTTCTTCTCCAATGTCCAATTCTTCTATGTCCTTAAACAAATCTTCATCAACTTCAACCTTAATATTATCATCATCAAATGGCTTTGAGTCTGTAATGAGTAAAAAAATTAAGTTAGTCACAGTCATATGTATCCCTGTGGAGCTCTTGGAATGCTTTGTTCTGTATAATGTTACCTTCTGAATCCTCGAGGAATTTCAAGTCTGACTGAACAAGAGTACTGTCATTCATAAACATCTGTCTTCCTGTCAGTTTTCCTGTATCTTTTTCTTTCAAAACTTTTAAATGAGCAAATTCAGCATCAAACTTAGCTTTCCAGGCAAAAAATGTCTCTGGATTGACAAGGGTGCCTTCAAACCGTTTCTGAAATAGTAAGCGACATTCAAGAGCTTGAGCAAAATACAACCACACTCCATGGTTAAAGGTAACAAACACGGCCCTGCCCAATCTCATGTGAAAACTTATGCCAATAAATATATTGGAAGTGTGAAAAGAAAATTTTGTGCCAATGAGCAAATAACCATAATTTGTTCCTTACCCTTTCTGCATCTTCTTCCTCTCTGATCTTCCTGTCTCTTTCCTCATCTTGACTTCTCTTTGCATTATCCCAATTGGTTGAAAGCCATTCTTGTGCAGCAGAAACTAATGTAAAGATCATAACTTCACCCATTACAATCTCGGCCTACAATAATAACAATAGCACATTACCTCAAAGCAAAATTATATTGATAAAATAATACAATACATATGGAGGAGAAAATTCGTGGGCACCTGTTCTAGCAGGTGGTCTTTTAATCTGACTTCATCATCATCACCAAAATGTTCCATATCTTCTATTTCAATTTCCGGAGGATCTTCGGGGTACCTTTCTGTGTATGTGAATTTAAGTGTGCATGCATACCCGGACCCCTCTTCAGCGTCATACTCTTCTGATTTAACTGGGATTTGAAACTTGACAGGAGAATCCCTCGAGAGTACTGAGGAAAATAGAAATATATATTCAAAAACAGACAATTTATAAATAAAATAAACATAAAAAGAAATCAATAACTTTGAAAAATGGACATAGTGATAGCGCAGAAAATAGGGACACTCGTTGAGATATTTACACTAGTAGTTAAATTAGGAAAATGAAATAAAAATGAACAATAATTTTTAAAATGTAATAAGTGATGCTACCTATACAGAAATTGATAGAGTGTAAATAGTTCTTTTCAATGTACCGGACAGCCGGAGGATAGGTTAAGGTCTCTACCTTCGAGTTCACCGCAGTAGATTGACTCTAGAGCTTCTAGCTCATTGTTCTGTTCCTCCTTGTGATTCATCTTAGTCACGACAGTTATTGGACAAAACTGCAAACGATGACAAGTAAAAAAGTCTAGTAAAATGCTAAATCTGGTCAAGTTTCATCGTAACGTGTACCAATCCAATCAATTTCAACAGACGAAGACGAAAATTTGGAGTGGGAGTGGGGGGGCTGAGACTCTCACCAACATCTTAAACAAAAAAACTCTTTTTTTTCTTCTTTTTTATCAAGAATTTATGAAGGATTCTCAATAAATTTAATGTAATGTGTAAAAATAGAAAAGTATTTCTGCTAAGGATTATTGTCGTGATAACTTTTGCAAGAAAAGTGGCGTAATAAAATCTTTTTAGTTTCTTACAGTTTGGATGAGGGCGCGCGAGCGGGGTAAAATTTGACTTGTTTCGCGTTACTTCACAATTTACCTTTCATGAAGTCAGACGTACATACTTCTCGCTTCTTTTCGCAAGGCCCATATTGGGGATTTACTTACTACATTTATCACTGTTCTTCCCTTTCCTTTTGTGGTCTTTATCCAGACAAAATGCTGTGCGATATACCGGTAAGTCTTGTGACCGCCGCATCGGATGGTTTTTTCTGGGTTCAGCAACGTTAAATGTAAAGGGATAAGCAACCTCACTCATTTATTATTTACGTACCTTTTTGCTGTGTACTTACTGACAATAAACCTGCCACAAATTATTTATATTGCCCCTTAATGGAGCCATGGAACTCGCTCTTGGGGTGTTCTTGTAAACAATAATAATTATTATTGTTTACAAGAACACCCCAAGAGCGAGTTCCATGGCTCCATTAAGGGGCAATATAAATAATTTGTGGCAGGTTTATTGTCAGTAAGTACACAGCAAAAAGGTACGTAAATAATAAATGAGTGAGGTTGCTTATCCCTTTACATTTAACGTTGCTGAACCCAGAAAAAACCATCCGATGCGGCGGTCACAAGACTTACCGGTATATCGCACAGCATTTTGTCTGGATAAAGACCACAAAAGGAAAGGGAAGAACAGTGATAAATGTAGTAAGTAAATCCCCAATATGGGCCTTGCGAAAAGAAGCGAGAAGTATGTACGTCTGACTTCATGAAAGGTAAATTGTGAAGTAACGCGAAACAAGTCAAATTTTACCCCGCTCGCGCGCCCTCATCCAAACTGTAAGAAACTAAAAAGATTTTA